GTAGTTTTTCTAAAGAGAATGCTTTAATGAAGTCTTGCAACTTGTAAGACATTTTTGAATTCTTTTACATGTTAGTACTACAGTTATCGATGTCCGTGGTATTAACCATTGTTTGTAGCGTTTGGTAACATATGTATGTGTTGAGAATTGAATAATTTTCCATACGTTTTATCTAATCAACTTTATTACCCTTTTGTTTATTCAGCAAATGAGATTTGTTAGTTCAAGGTATTTGTTTAACCGCAATAATTTGCCCACTTTAGAATCGTTTTAAAATAAGTATGAGTAATTAGGACAATAATAAATTTATTTTAAAAAGGAAATTCTTTGAGTTGAATAGCTTGTTTAAATTAAAACTGAATGCATTATTCCATATTGCATTATTTTGCGTTCATTATTCATAAAATAAACCTATAACAGCGTTTGATTCAATTTACAACTGACACAAGTAATAATGTTGAACATATTGTTAAATTTGTATTCAGGTCGTGACAAAAGAATATCGTCAGGTGATTTTTAATAAAAAAGAAAAAAGATGTTCAAAGTTCATTTCGATAAAATTATACAAACCAAAGTTAGAGTATAATTCTACCGATAGATAAAATATTATTGTTAAAATAATGGCTTTTTATAGCTAAATATCAACATTTTTAAGATAACTAAAAAAACCTTTTAAAATATTTAGTAAGATTGGCTGTTGCTTGGACTATGGCTACGTGAAATTAAAAAAATATTAAAAATATAACCTGTGTTATTCACTAATAACGTAGCTTTTTAATGGTTAAAGATAATTCGGAATCGGTCCAATAGTTTTTGAGTCATTTCGATAAATACAAAAACCGAAAAATACCGAATCTTTCCTGTTTATCATATTAGTTTTGACTTCTAAGTTTGATTTCTCCATGTTAAAAATCGCTTGGTACACACAAAATCTATTAATATGCATATCTTACTTGGTATTATTAGACAATTTATTTAATTGATACTGTCGCTTTTAACTCAGAGCAATACTTCTCGTCAAGACTTAAGATGCGCGCCAATCTATCCATACTTCTAGTGACATTGACAGCTGTCAGCTAGGGACGTGCCGTTTATGCCGATAATCTAGAGTTGCGCCAATTCTATAGCACGGTACTAATTTTATTCCTAACAGTATGACCGATTTTTTTTGTAACTTTTTTTGTTATAAGTTTGATGACCAACATAGATTTAAAAGTAATGTTTCGCAGAAATCTGCTATATTCCTAATGGACATTTGTGGCTTCGTGTCGTGCGTTAAATTGCTAAAATAAGAATACAAAATCATACTTAATGTTATTTGAATTCAAGAAACAGTATAACTGGTTACCAGATACGAACAAAATTACTGCGAAATCATATCACGATGCTCACAGGGTTTTTCCTTGCTAAAGTTCTGTTTATTTATCTAAATACTCGTATAGATTTCCTTGATGATATTTACAAGATGAAATCACCAAATAAAATGTCTATACAGTTTCTGATTAAAATATACATATCCTTGTTATATACCTCTCATGTGGGGTTTAAGGAGTTTTTTTTTTAAATTGCAAAACTAGCGCTTGAACACTATCCCACCTAGACCAAGGTGAAGATGTGATCGAAGGATGGTACGTGCTAGTTTAGTAAGTACCGATTAGTAAGGTGTTTTATAAACTTTTTTGGCTTATTTTTAAGGACGCTCACTTTACAATCCCTAATGACTACTACTGGTGGTAGCCCCCCCCAACTGCACCTGTTTCCTCCTACTGTCCCTTGGCGACGCCCGTAATATGCTTAATTGAATAATAAGCAACGATAACTTTGTGCTTTTTAGGATTAGTACGCGAACTGATGAACATGTTTATTAGCTTTTGCCCACGACAACGTTCGCGTGGAATTAAAAAGTAAATAACCTATGTGTTTTTCCAGACTGTCCTCTAAATCTATGCCAAATTACATCGAGATCCGTTCAGCAGTTTACGCTACAAATTCTAACAAACATCCATTCATCTAAAATAGAGCATAGTCTAGAAGAACACATAGGCTACTTACTTTTGTTTTTCTGTTAATTCCACGCGGACGGTGTCGCGGGCAAAAACTAGTATTGTATATTCTAAGAAGCGGCGTTGCATCGACACAATTGGAAACGTTTCCTAAAATGCAATAACACGTCTCATATTATA